AATATGGGCTTTCAGCTCATATGACTAGATTGGCAGGCGGCATCTAGATTCAAGAATGTTGCTACTGGAGGGCAGGAGGGATCAATTGCATCATTATTACTAGTTTATTACTACATTCGATATACACATGCTAGTACTAGAAATCTAGACTAGTGCTAAAAATATAACAGAAGGTATGTTTAGATTAGTACTATGTCTAGATTAGATTTCTAGTATTAGGATGTGTCACATTTTATTCTAAATTAATTTATTCTGGAACAGAGCGAGTAGTACAGAACTTTGGAAAATTGTTTTTTCTAAGTTCTATGAATTGGACAGACCATTATGCATGTCCAAATATTTAATGGTATGTTTAGTTTGTTGCCCCCTTTCAATTACCAGATTTTGATAAGTTAACAAAAGATGTCGCTCTACCATAATTCCGAAAACTTCTACTCTTAAAAGCACTACCTAAAATTTGCTAGGATCTCAAACCAAATACATCCCATCACTACTAACATCCGGTAATATCAAAATGTGACAAAATTTAGAATTACCAATTTTTGGTAGTGCTGGTATAAGCAACAAACTGAAAAAGTCCTACAAAATTTTGCTAGCTTGAGGATATGAAGTTTCATGAGATATACTCCCTTTTCTTTGTAATTCTATATATTCATTACTCCGTCCGTTTCATATTATAAATCAGTTTGGGTTTGTGCTAAGCTTATTCCACTCACCTGCTAAATGAATGAGTAAAAGACCAACAAAAAAAATCTAGAAAATAAAGACCTTTAGATAACTTTCAACAACCCATTTTAATAATTATTAAAACCGCTCTAACTTACCAAGTTGCCACACCAAATCGATGTGTGAAAAGCACAGCGAGAAATTACATTGAATAACTCGGTCTACAAGTTTTCAAACTAAACCAAGCCAACCCACCAACCATTTCAATTTGAAAACCTTATGTTTCAATGGATAGCTGAGAAGATAACCTGCAAATTTAAGTAGCACTACTACTGTACACACATGTTTACGTTTCAATAGGAGTTAAAAGTTAGCTTTTACCCGTGCAAGCTGTACAGTTCATGTGGCCGTGTAGTTATCTCTCTCTCTCTCTCTCTCCCTTTAGGCTTTTCATCTGGGGACCACTGCCAGGTGGGCCCGGACCTTTGTAGCCGTAATGGGCCGCACATCAGCAAGGTGGGCCAGAGACCCTAATAATTTTCAGACTGGCAAACAATCGGATCATCCCAGCCGTCCACTGCTGTCCGATCGACCGCAAGGACACTGCTGCACCTGCCAACTGCGAGTTCCATCGCCTCCTTTCATTATCAGTGTTCCAACTTTTCCTTTTCTGACATTTCACACAAACTTTTCACCAAGCTACATTTTGAATTCCAAATGCATGAGTCCAAAGCACAATTCCTATACAGTTAGATCTAGGCATGATTTGTTGAAAATTCGTGCAATTCATACATGGTGCATCATGTGCCCTGCTGAAAACAAGAATCAAGTGCCAATCAATCAGAAAAATTATCTAAACAGAAAAAAAGAGAGAAGGAAACTAAGGCCCCCTTTTTTTAAAAAAAATGGTTGAATTTTACATGATTTTTATGCGAATTGAATTGCTTTCTATAGAGACCCTATAAAATTAAGTGTTCCAAAGGAGATCTAACGAACACTTAATATCGAAAAAACTTGGAATTATATACCTTCACACCAGAAAATTTTGTAGGAAAACCGAGCATTAAGTTGTAGTTCAGGATAATATTTTTTTTTGTTTGGCAATTTTTGCATGCATGCAGATCACGTAGGAAGTAGGAAGTTGCAAGGCAGGATGGCCGTACGGACCATCGCCTGATTAAGCCTGCAGAAACTAATGGAGTATATGGACGCCACGCTGACATGTTTGGTGAGACATGAGTGGCACTGTGTGGCAGTATAGTGCTGGGACATGGGCACCGGAATCTGTTGCTACTCCTTGATTCTAACTACTACTCCCTGCAATTTTACAGAATGATGCATGTGTGTGTGTGATTCATTTTGGTGGTCAGATGTGCAGCGACATGCATGTATTATCTGAATGAAAAACAGGATGAGAATTTTACAGCATACTAGCAGGCACTCTTTATAGGTTTCAGTGCCATTTTTCCTCCATCATTAATTCTGACTCACGCTTTCATATTCAGAAAACACTGCAAGTTTTTTTTTTTGAGATCAAAACACTGCAAGTTTTAATTATATATGGACCTGGTAGTATTTATTTCTTCTATCTCTCTCTCTCTTCCTCAAAACCTGTTTGTGTCACATGGCCATTGTTGTTGTTTTACCCTGAGATCTGCTGGTAATTACTCCAAATAATTAATCTTCACAGCGAGAGCTAGGTTAATGCAGACATAACAAGACAAATAAGTTAGCTAGCTCTACCTTAGCTCTCAGTAAGTATGGAATAGTGCTTTTGCAGTACTATCGTATAGTCCCCCCATCTAGCTAGTCAAGTTAGCTAGCAAGACAAATTAAGAGAGACAGTCGTAGTGAGGAGAGAAACCCAAATTCAATGCATCCTGGAGTGGTACATTTCAATTCAAGTACATTTCCCTCCAAATTCTTGACTCTTCCCTTGGCATTTCATGAAAGCAAACAAAAAATTAGATGGAACCTTAACTAATCAGTCCATTTGCAATGAATGGTGTGATCCTTCTGTGGGTCTACTCCACATAAATTTCTTTGACGTCTTCAGGGCAAAATCAATACGCTCTGGTCGATCAGCAACAACGATAGCAGCAGAGCAACCACTACATAGCAGCAGGATAATTGGCAAGTGACAACTAATCCAATAGAACAAATGTATGAAGGAGAGACCCCATTTGTTTCTTCTTTGATTGTTCATGTACAGGACCACTTTCTGAAACCCCTCTGCAGCATGCATGCTTCAGATCCATATATATAGTTGATGTACAGTCACAAGTAAAATTTTGGTAGAAAATTGAATCTTGCATGGATAGATCGATTTAGTAGTACTGTTTATTTTCAAAAAAATGAATCAGTTGGGCCGTACCTATCATTTAATGCACGTTTGGTTGGACTAATTTATATTAGCTGATTGGAGTGGTATATATTATGCCTTCTTCTTTAAGCTGAACATTCTAAGAAGCAACTGGTGGAAATCAACAACGGCGGTGAGATGTGCTTTCCAGCTTCTAGTTTAGTTTCTACTTTATTTCCTAGGTTCTTATAATATGTGAGAATCCACATACTGTTTGGGAAACTAAAGACTCTGAGAAGAAGCTGGTCAGGTAGCCTACTGGTGAGAATATGGAAAAGTTAGTATTTTTAGAATCTGTGTGAGAATCTAAAATATTTAAAAAATAAAGCTAGAGATTTTGATAGAAATTACAGCTGCTAAAAAGCTGCCTAAATAGGGCCTAAGACTTGTTAGAAAAGAATAAAAAAACATAATTGTTTAATGATTAATTTGAGAAAAAAACATTCGATTAAGATATTAATATCCTATATATTTACCATCTCTTCTTATGTGCTTGTGTTGGTTAATACAACGATATGTATAACATTATTTTCCCTAATCGTATACGCATAGAAAATATTAAAAGTATAATAACATGAAAGAATTCATACTAATATCGTTTTCACATATCAAATGCTACTTTATTTTTATATACTAGTAAGCTTTTTAAATTTTACAACGTTGTTTGATCAACGTCATTTTTATGTCTTCCAGGTGTCTTCATTGTTAGCCTATAATGTTATGATAGGAGCCAAGGAGTAGTAGGATACTATGTACAACGATGTTATATGTTTGTAATTGGTAGTCGATTGGCTTTAGTTTCTTTTCATTATAGGTGGCATATAGGCTTATTAATTTATCTTCAGGAAATACATATTTGACTCGCTTCTCGGTCTTGAGGAGCTACCAAAGGAGCAAATGAAGTGGACATGTATACCTCTACCCAATCGATGTAGAGGTCGGAGATGTATACTATTTTCATTAATTGTCAAAATAAAAGGAGCGTATTGTAATACTCTGAAATACATACAACAATTAATGTACATATGCGTGTATAGGTGCAGTACAGTTCTGGAAACAGCAAGAGAGCTAGCATCTGGAAATTTACAGGGTAGCTAGGCTAGCTACTATATATACGTACCCTGTGGTCTTCTGAAGGGAAACATACGTACACAACATGCTGTCAAATTATGAACAGTTGTAATATTGGGGGAATTAATAGTGGAGTTGTGGTACTAAAGCCTTGACCAAATCGGTGGTTGGAAATTAATTAGCAGAAAATGCTGAGCGCTGAAACAAACGTACGTAGTACGTGCTCACACACTTCATCAGTACGTAGATTAATTATGGCTTGAATTGCAATCTCTGTTTCGACCATATTATTGGAGAGATAGGATCGTTCATATAAAATTAATTAAATATACAGGTCGCACGCTAGCTAGTTAATTAGAATAAAATAAATTATAGGATAGTAGTTCATACACATATATACCCAAATTAACAATGGTATATATGCATAAATAATGTGGTAGCCAGCTGGTAGGGTACAAACACTGAATCTCAAGCTAGCTATGTCTAAAATAAATTAAAGACGTCAACAACTTTACTTTATAGCGTCCAATGACGCTTGTCTAAAATATAACAATATAGCAGGAAGCTAATATACTCTGTGCTATGGTAAAGTAACGGAGCCATGAGCATATCGTACGTGGAACCTAGACAACGATATATATATATATATATATATATATTATATAGCTCCTAAATCCAGTCATATTAATGGCGAATTTTTCAGTAACAAACCACGGTAAGAATGGACATCGTCGTCGTCATCGATCTGCAGCAACACAGGGTACAAATCTTGTATAAAAAAAACACACACACACAGAGTACAAATC